GGGGTGGCCCAAATTGCAACTTTCATTTCTGTGGCAAGCCCACCGCGATACTCGAGGTGGTGCGATATGTTTAGCCCCCCTGCCCGGCGGGAAAACTGGGTGGGCACAATCCTATTGGTCGCAACCAATAGTACGCACCCACCTGGCTGTGCCCATCTGTCGCGCAGGGTCGCGATACATTGGTTGTTTGTGACACAACATTTGGCAAATTTACAGGCGCGACTCGGGAAAACGGGGATTGAGACACAAGTGTCCCCACAGGAATGTACCCTAAATATGTATATTTTTAAAAAAGCTGTAACGCTTTTCAAAATTATGTATTTTGAAAGCGAAGCTGCTTGTAATGTAGGATTTGGCAGCGTCGAGCCGCGCTAAACGCCCGTTTTGGAGTACAAAACGTGGGCTGGAGGCCATTTCCCTCCACCCACGTCTCTCATTTTCAAACGGTTTAGCCGATTTTCCCGCCCCCCCCCCCCCCCCCCCCTCGGAAACAGGATAGCCGTAGGAACATAGAGGCATATCTTTGTAATATCACTATGGATTTCAATTGTACTAAACCCATTTGAAATGAGACGATGCCAATTGCTACATGCAAGAAAGCAAGCTTTCTAAATATAACAAACTGACCAATTACACAGATGACTGCTGCCAACGCATATTCTGCGGGGAAGGCCGCTTCGGTACTTGCGTGATTGACGGAAATCACGCTCGTGCAAAATTTCGGGAATGAAAAGGGGGGGGGGGGGGATGCCCTGTACGCCCTTAAGGGTAATCTTCGTTTTCAAAAAATTTACCCCAGACCATCAGTGTGGCTTAAATCGTTTCACTGTCAAATCAGTGTAACACTAACTTTCAAAAAAATTACCCAAACACATCAGTGTAGGCCCTAAAATTCACCCTTCTCATCAGTATAGCAGTGTGATTTACCTACACTGATAAAATAGGCCCTGACAACCACCATATATAAAAATGACGCCAACTGATTTCTGGCTGGTTGTGATGCAATCTAGACATCCAATCCTAAAAACGCAGCATCCCTCACCTATCACACAGATGCCCAGCACTAGATGCTAGCTATGTGCAGCAGAAGTGCCAATAACAAACAGCCCTTCTAATCTTCGGCCAAATAATGATGCCCTAGTAGATTGAATCTGTTAGATACTTCAGCTCCTGAGTAGTAGCATTACCAAACTAAACACAACCTCTGGAACCCAATGGGACCCAAGGGTACAAAAGGAATACATTTGTGTAGACGCTGCATCAAAATCCTAGTTCGCACCTGTTAAAAGGCAGTGCATGCTGATGCGGGATCTAGAAACTTCGAGTCCTGGGAAGGACAATCTGCGGCGACTTGCCCGACTTAGGCGTACCCAAAAACGAACCTAGTACATGTTTCCGCTTCATAATAATCTCCATCTCGCTCCGACTCCTTTCCAGTTGCAGCCTGGGCACCATGGATATCAAATCCTCCATCTGCTGCATCAAGCTCTCATTCATAGACACACTCCGCACCTCATGCGGCTTCTCATCACCATCACCTCCTCTGCTATCTCCATTGTCAGGACTGATTATTCCGTCGTTGGCGCTGCTGGCACAAGTTGCGTTGTCCTCGCCCCATCTGAGGTCTGTCAGATCATTCGGCAGCTGTATCGCGAGGCCACGGCTCACATCAGATGAGTCCTGATTTGCAGACACAGACGCTTCGAAAGATATAGATGAAGGAGGGTCTGAATCTTCAAGAGATTGCGAGGGGGAGACTCGCTCGTGGTCAGATGCTGGTACGGCAGTTTGGCAGTTTTTTAAATCAGTAGACGCGTCCGTCGGCATGGCAGACGCAATGTGGTCGAATATCGTGATCCGTCCTGAAATGTCAGCCGAAGACATCTGCTTATCCGAAGATCTGTCTTGCAACAAGCCTTTTCCCACTCCGTCAGGCTTACTAGCAGCTTCTCCTATACCGCTTCCATGGTTGGGAAAAGCTGTCACTGCGATTCTCCCCGAACTAGTGGGTGCGCCAGCGTGCACATGACCTCGGTTTGCCAATGAACAAACTCGGCCGGAGGTGAAAGAAAGGCCTGACCCTGGAGTAAATGAATCATCTAATGATGGCTCTGCTCCCGCACCTGCGAACCGCACTCGTTTCCTGCTAGGAGCCGATGACGTTGTGCCGTCTTCTGGCGTCGCCTTGCCTTTTCCTTTCTGTCTCTCTAAGGAAGATGCCATTGATATCACCTCAGCTGAGGACACTTGGGCTTCACTTCACCACTAAAGTTACTAAACCCTACAAATGCATCTGAAAACTTCACGATTTGGGCACTGGATGCTGTGTAATTTGCTGATTGGCTGCCATTTTCTGGAGTAGGGTTTCGTTGCACGGAGAAGCTAGCAGGCTGGCAGTGAAGATGTCTTCCTAGCACCCCTGAATTGGAGGGTGAATGCTTGGGTGGAGAGGGAGGGGGATGGAAGGGGGATGGCAGGAAACAAGGCTGGCTGAAGGGGGAGTGGGGTGGAGGGGGGAGGTGAAAGGGAGGGGGAGGAATGTGTGTGGGTGAGTGTTTGATATACAATGCGGACATGCGGGATGCGGGGAAGGTCGGGTCCAGAGGAAGTGTGAATGAAGGGGGGTGGGTGGACGAAGGGGCGGAGCATCAGAAAGTGGGTGGGGGTGCTGGACACTGGAGCAATGGGGGGGTGGGGGGGGGTAGGGGGGGGGCACTTGTCCTGTCTGCAGCTGGCGGAACGTGTTTAGGAAAAAAAGTGCGCGGCAATGAGAAAAAGGAAGTGGTGGCGCAAGAAGAGCCCGATTTGATTGGCCTAACAGATTCCGCAAATGCTGCTTGCCGAGGTCTCGCGCGCCACGCTGCCGTACCCCATTGACAGCAAACAGAGGAGCAATGACGTGTTGCCACGGCAGCACGGTTTTAGCATTGCTGGTAACTTTCGAAACTCTCTTGAGAGAACACTGGTGACGACCCACAAGTCTCTTTACCCTGTTAGTTCTGCAAATACAGGTTTGTGTGCAAATAACAATCCGGCTCCTGTGGTAGATACCCAGTTCTTGGATCTGTAGCTCCGTTAATTCTTTACTTTGAGCTCTACCATTTCTCATTCTTGAACTAAGCACACTTTTGCCTTTCGGGAGGTTCTTTAGTTCTGTGTTTTCACATTCGGACATGTAAATGAGCGAAATTACTTTTTTTTCTGGGTATCAATTGCGCGAAAGAAAGGCCAGAATTCCACGCTCCTTTCTAATCCAACCAGCTTCGATGTACATTTACGGAATTACCCTTCTTGTCCCAAAAAATTCCGCCCACCCAAATCTCGCCTGCTTGGATGTGCAGGATGGCCCAAAAACGTAAGGCCACCTGGAGCGATTCACCTGCATGCGACGGTTCACGAAAAATGTTACTGTACGACCTGGCGTGGTGCCTGACTTCGCTGGATGAATTATGAACCATGATCAAGGGAATTGACATCGGGGATCCTGCGTTCTCCAACACCACCAGGATCAGGACGCGTTACAATTCAAAGATCGATCCAGCAAGGGATCGATGTGTGAGTGTACAGTAGATGTGCGAATTCTCGAATTCTAGGGTAATTTTGTTTTCGTTAGTTTTCGCGTAAGCTCATGTCACAATAAGATCGTCCATTATCGAACCGCCACCGCACTGAAATCCCGCTTCAAGCATTCACAACGCTCAGAAACAGTAAGAACTCCGTCAAACATGGATCCGATCGGGCGATCGTGTCCCACCCTGGTTGAAACCTGGCTGTGGCAATCGATGCTCACGATTTCGGTGTTCGGTCCCGATCCTCATCCGGTGTTTCAACTGTGCGCGTCCTCACATCACAACCCGAAACCACCAAGAACACCACCCTCAGCGAGGTACAGTTCAGTTCTGTTCCTCCCAACTTCAACCCCCCAATTCCACCTCCTCCCACAACCACCAACCTCACCCTCCTAGTTCCTTCCTCCCCGCATTCGCCCCCCCGCGTTCTTTCCCCTTAACTATCCTCTCTGAGTCGAGGAAGAGAGCCATTTCTTACTGCCTCAATTATCATCTTTGTTTCAACTAAACTGCAACTTCTCGTCGCTTGTTGTAGCAAAACGACCTCTGTCGCTCTAGAGTCGGCATGGTGTGCTAGTGTAGCTCCGTCCTCAACCCGCTGCGTCACGAGTATTCCGGCTTGTGTTGACACAATCGCTACCGCAGATGAAGCAACGTGTCACATGAACGCTGGAGTTGAAGTTGGCGCCGCGATAAGCAGGAGGCCGTATTGGTGACTGAAACGAAAACGGATAGGTTTCCAGAAACGAGGACGATGGGAAATTCTTCTGGGGATGATCCTCCGACGAGCCTCTACATCGATCCAGAAGCACCTGCTGACAGCCCTTTACAACCATCAGCAAATAGCTCGCTTCCGTCGTCATCAACCCCTGCCGAACGCCGATGCGCCGTTTGTTCGTGCAAGCTTCCAACCTCATCACTCCGCTCCGCAAAATCTCTTCCCGCACCGAAGCATTTTAAATTCGATTTACGAGAGCGTGACGATGACGATGACGACGACGACGACAACAACAACGCGCCGTCTGAGCGAGGAATGAGCCGAGGGGAGGAACAGCAAGCCATTAGTGCTTCATCGCCGTCCGATTCGCCTACTATTGTTCCACGGCGCATTTCTCAAGTTTCCGGATCGCCTCTTCTCTGCAACCATTGCGCTCCACGAAAATCCCGACAAGTTCACTTCGCGGACCTAGACGAAAAGTTCTCGAGACTGACTGTGAAGACTAGGGTTTCTAAACCTTCTTCATTTTCCAACGAAATAGAGTTCGATGACCCTGACCCAGATTTTTTAAACATCCGGGACAAAAGATTGAAGAGCGAATCTGGAGCCGCTCTTATCCGTACGCGGTCATCCAGCTCAGCAGGGAGCTTGGGCTACGATTCAGAATCAACAGGTGCTTTATCAGCAGATAGAGGGCGACGGGAGGAGAGTTCCTATGCTGACAGCTTTTCAGAAGGGTGGGAGGGACCCAGCAGCTGTAGCGATTTCAGCGGCGGCGCTTTCAGTCGGTCTAGCAGTGTAGGAAGCGGAGTAGAGGGAATGGGGGAGGGAGGGAAAACGTTTCAGCAGCGGCGGGGTAAGAGCAAGCTTAAATCGGTGACGTTGGATCTTACACGGGCCAACAGCGAGTCACTGAATGAGAAGCGGGAGCAGGTGCTGGGCACGTCTTGTGGGACTCCAAAGCTGGAGAAGAGTGAGACCCTTTGATCAAGTGGACAGGGGGATGATTGGCTGTAAATGTATGGTTGATAGGCCCTCCTTACCCTAGGATTATGAAGGCTGCTTATACCATATTAATACCAGATAGATTGCAGAGGGGTTCTAGGGAAGTATTCCAATGGGTTCTTGGTGAAAATAATCCAAATCCAGCACTAACAAATGCTACCTCATTTTATGAGCAGCCCCTTTAGAGGGACATTGGGTGAAGCCGATGATAAGGCTATGGTACAAACAACGAACATACACATGGTACATAGTAGGTGCCTTGCTGCTGGCCTACAAGATGCATGCTGGGAGGCAAAAATGTATCAATGGAACGTCAGGCCTGAGGATTCTCTTGTGGATGTACAAGGTTTGGCAGGCATATGCAAACGTATTAGGATAACCGAGTTGGAACTTGGAGGAGTGCTGCACGTGCATCTCATCATTACCACCTCAATTGCTGAGGGTGGAGTTTCTTTAGCCCATCCATAACCCATACTGGTACCCCAGTTATCATCACCAGGTCATCTTCGGCATCATCTTGGAGAGCATAATCCAGCAATTGTTCGCCACCTGTAAGTGTAGATCGCATACACCCACCCTATCGTTACAGTTCCACCCCTCTTCGGTAACCTCCCTTCCGGATAACTTTCCGTTCTTGACTTGTTGCGCCACCGCCACCCCTCCGCTTCCCCCAACACCTGTGCCTGCTGCGCTAGCATCAGCGCCCGAGCTCTCCCCCTGGGATTCCGCTAGAAGAAACTTCAGCACCCATGGATGCTTTAGCAGCTCCGTAGCGGACGGCCGTTCGTTCGGATTGACAGCCAGCATTCGACGGACGAGATCCTTTGCGTCATCTGAGATCGACGGCCAGGGATCACCGGAAAAGTCGACGTGGCCATTCAGGATCTTCCGCTCAAGAACCGCCTTCTTAGGCGAATAAAAAGGCCACCGAGCGCAGAGCATGGAGTAGAGAATGACTCCCAGGCTCCAAATGTCCGCCTTCTCGTTGGACCGACCCTTCATAATCATCTCTGGCGATTTGTACGGCAGGCTTCCAACCGCGCCGCTCACGTACGTCCCTCTGCGACGACGCGTCGCCAGAGTGAAGTCGTTCAGTCGCACGAAGGGGCCCTGAAAGTTGAACGCAAAAAAGGCTGGGGTTGCGTCTGGAACGTCGTCTGCAGGTAGTGCTTCTGCTTCTCCGGCAGCGGCGGCGCCAGCGGCGCCGGAGGCGGAGGCAGAGGCAGAGGCGGGAGAGGCGGAGGAATCGGGGGGCTCGGAGTTGGATTCAGAAAGCGTTCCGGAATCTGGGTTCTGGACGCGCGAGGCGGTAGGTGCTGCGGACGGCGAGGGGGGAGGGAGGGGAAGGCTGGGGGAAGAGCCAACGGGGGAGGCCGAGCTGGATGGGGCGGGGGAAGCAGCGGAGCTTCTGCTGAAAGGAGAGGGGGATGGGGGATTGAACGAGGGGGAGGGGGAGGCGGAAGCGCTCGCATGCCGCGCGGGGGAACTTAGCGGGGTGGAGAAGGCGGAGAGTGACGGGGAGAAGATGGAGAAAGAGGAGGAGGAGGAGAAGGAGCTACAGGAGGAGAGCGCGGGCGACGCGTAGTTTAGGTCGTCCGCCGTCCCATACGTGAGAAACACGTTCTCGGGCTTTAAGTTGCGATGTAAGATCCCATAGTCGTGACAGAAGGCGACAGCCGATGCGAGCTGCCGAAACATAATAGCCGCCTGCGGTTCTGGAATCGCGCCCATTTTGCTGATGTACTCCAGTAAGTCGCCACCTAAGCAGCGCTCCATGACCACGTAGATTGCACACGTGTCCTCAAACACGCCCACGAGCGACACCACGTTCAGATGCGCGCCGGCCTGCTTCATGATCTCCAGCCGGCGCCGCAGGCCGTTTTTGTCGGCTTCTGTTCGCAGCGCGTTCTTGAGCATCACTTTGCAGGCCAGCCCTTGGCCGGTCTCCTTGTCTGTGCATTCTAAGACGGCGCCACTGGATCCGTTCGCGATGACGTCACCTAGAGAATATCGGTCCCTTGGGAATTTAGCAGCCCAGCTTATGACACGCGGGAAATCCGTCGGCCGCTCCCACCATTGGAAGAAACCCATTGCGACACGAGATTAGTTTTTACAGAGGTCGGACTGTCTTAGATATCTGAACAAAGTTTTGGAGACTAGATGGTTTATATTCCTGAACCGGACATAACGAAGCGCTAGGCAGCGGTTTGCACGTCAACAAACTACTAGGTAGAAAGGATACTAAAACCGATGTAGAAGCGTGCACAGAAAGTTGCAAGGTTGGGCGGTCAGGGGAACAGGTTTTCGCTGATTAGTGAAAGCGACAGCCTAACGAAACTGGTCGCAAACAGTGAGTGTTGTGAAGCCTCGCCTCCCTTTAGCTTGCAACAAATGCAACCCTACTGGAGAGCGGACCGGACGGAAGGGGCATATGGGGGAAAAGTGGGATCAGTTTGGCTGAGGTGAGGAGAGCCGTGGAGGAGGGAATTTAGGATGGGAGAGCCGTGGTGTGACAAAGAGAGGGAAAGGGGGTACAGTAACCTCATTGCCGCCATAATTGCGAGTTTTTCTTTTGGGCCCAACAGTTGGCTCGCATTCAGAGCTGAGCGAAAACTCGGTTTCCCCTGGATTTCGCATGCGACGCTCGCACACGAGCCAAACAAAACAGCGACGTGGGAGAGAGCCACATGACGAATGCGGCGACCCCACCATCTCTTGAGCACCCTGGCGTCGTATCGCTATTTGTCAGATAGGATATCGCGTCGCATGTGCACCTGATGGTCGCAGAAACGCGTTTTGGATCCTATCTGGCACCGATTCGCAGGTCAATGGCGCAACAGAGGTTTCTTCCTGGACAAGGCGCTGCTGGTGTCAGACTGAAAAGACCTGTGGGAGAGCCAAGTGGCACCGCCGCCACGCCATGACTGCCCAAGGTGACGTCGATATCGCCCGCTGGAGCCATTAGCAACACATATCCATGACAAAAAGTCTGCAATTATCATTTGTTTCAAGAAGAAAACTTAAACTTGTTATACGAGAAAACGTGTAGCAGAAAACAAATCAATCCCAATATGACAACCAAGCTCTAGTGTTCCATCCACCAACAATCCACATGCAAATCATCTAGGAGAATGGTAGTAGTTCACGTAGATTTATGTTGACAGGTCCACAAAGATGAATACCCCTCATTATTCCGAAATTTACTTTCACACTTAACGCTGATCAGTGCATTTTTCCGCTTGGCAAAGAAGTGCAAGGTCGACTCATTACTTATTTAATGCCATAGCACATATCAAACCTCTCCATAGGCTGAACACAATGTTCTGACTGTTTGCCAGTCATGCGACCAATCAACTTCCCTAGTCTTTCTTTCATTCACCCTGATTATGGCTGCACAGCCAGCATAGGTGGCCGAGGCAGCTTCACTGGTAGTGGTGGGCGCTGCGAATGAGTCTCTTGTTTCCGAACAGGATGGATAACAGGCGGCAGGGGGGGCAAGCCACGCGCCTCCCTCAGCTGGCTCGGTTGCTGATGGCTGTGCTGCTCTGCTGTTGGCCCTGTCTCCATTCCAGAGCCTTCTGATGCAGCGGCTGGAATAGGTAGAATGCAATGAGCAGAAGTGTTAGATGTGGCTATTTTACTCGCAGGGATGTTATCACTGGAGTTAGCTCTGTAAATAGCCAGCGTGGAGCTGGTGCGACTGCTGCGCTGCTTTCTTGCCGGCCCAGTTGCTGTGACTGGCATTTGATCACCATTACAATTTGTCAATTTCTGCTGCTGCTGCTGCTGCTGCTGCTGCAGCTGCTCCTTCACACGCCCTTGCCCCTGCAGCTCAAGCGATTCTGGAGCTTTCCAATTCTGCCGCCCTCTCTGCCTCCTCATCCATTTCACCAACCACGTGTGCTGAAGCACGCAGTGAATATCCAGCCGTTCATTCGGATCAACCACCAGCATCTGACGGATCAGATCCTTCGCATCCTCAGAGATCGACGGCCACGGGCGCACCGTCAAATCCTCCGGCACAAGCTCACGCTTTCCATCTGGGAATTCTGGCCACGTCGCAGAGAGGAGGGTGTGCAGGAGAACCCCCAGGGACCACACATCTGCTTGATGGTCGTAACGTTTCATCCCCACCATTTCAGGAGCCTCGTACGGTTCACTTCCAGCCAAGCCCATGATTGCCGAGCCTGGAGGCACCTCACACGCCATCCCAAAATCCGCGAGCCGAACCTCAGGCTCGGGAGCCCCACCAAACAGGCTCGGATATATCCGCTTCTCGAATTCATCCCCGTCATTACCCACGCCCTGCGGGGAAACGGCTGCTGCGCACTCGCCAGAGACCTTTCCCGCGGCGGAATGACAGGCGCGCGGAGAAATCTCCGTAGCGGAGTAAGCGCGTGGAACCGCGATCTGGGGCCGCGGGATCGCTTGCGCGGGAAGGGCCGCCCGCGAAGCTCTCGCGTCAGTGCATGCGCCCGCTGGCGGCGACGCGGAGCACGCCGAAGTAACTCCCCGCGGAGCAGCAGCAGCAGCGGAAGCAGCGGCGGCGGCAACGGCGGCAGGGGAAGCAGCGGCGGCAGCTTGAGCAGCAGCATCGGCATTGCTGCCTGACGGATCGCTACGGCTGTGCGGAAAGATGGACGCGCGCGCGGACTTGTGGTCCGCGTTTCGCGGCGAGTCCCATGGCGCGTATACCGCCTGGGCGGAATTGCTGTTGGAATGAAGTGCCTTGGCGACGGAAGGAAGCGAAGAAGCAACAGGAGACGGAAGGGGAGAAGGAAGCGGAGACGAGGTGACGAAGGCGTGGAAGGGCGAGGAGGAACAGGAATGGGAGGAGACGGAGGAGGAGGAGGAAGAGGAGGGAGATGAGGAGGACGACGAAGGGGAAAGCAGCGAAAAGTCTTGTAACGAGGATGAGCAGGAGGAGGAGGCTGGAATAGAGGCAGAGGACGCGAGTATAGGCTTTGACTTCTGGGGAGCGCTGTTTTGATCCTCGAGTGGAGTCATGGCGGGAGGCGGAGACGGGCAGAAGGACGGGCAGAATGTAGAGACCGGGTTACAAATGGGAGAGCACGACGAGTATGACGACGACGGCCCGCAAATCCCGTTCTTTGCGAAAATGCTTCGCCTATCAGAAGCTCGCTTTGACGCCGGCGACAACGGCGGCTCTTGGCCCGTTATAAGAACGTTTTCGGGCTTAATATCGCGGTGGACTATATCGTGTAGGTGACACCATTCCACAGCGCGCGCGATTTGGACGAAAATTCCCGCCGCGGTTCGTTCGTCCACACCGTGTTCAAACTGGTCAATCAAGTCAAACAGGTCGCCGCCGGTACACAGCTCCGTAATGAGATACACACCGGGCCGCGCGACGATTTCCCGAATCGCGACAGACGCATCCTCCCACCCCGAACCAAACGCGTCCGAACCACACAACTTTTTTTCCGAACCAAACCCGTCCAATGCGCCACCGTCGCCGTCGCAAATCGCATGCAGTCGCAGCACGTTCGGGTGGCCCTGCAGGCGTCGCAAGACGGCGATTTCGCGGTGAAGCGCCAGCCGTTGCTCCGCCGTGAGATGAGCGGTGAGGATCTGCTTGCACGCGAGCGGCTCGCTGGTGGGGCCGTGGCGGTCCAAGCAGCGCCAAACGCGGCCGAACTTTCCCTCCCCTAGCAGATCCGTGAAGACGAAGCGGCGCGTGAGCTCGTGAGCGGAGATAACCGGAACCGAATCGCTGCGCCGCGCCCCTTCTGCTGCTGTAACGGCTGGCATTGATGCTGCCGCGCGGCGCGACGCAGAGGAGCCCTCCGCGGCGGCATCCCGGCGGCCCGTCGCGGAAGATTCCGCGAAGCTCATAAAGAACGGCCCTGTTCTCCGTCCACGTGATACGTGCTGGTTGTCGGAGGCGAAATCAGTACTTGAGAGACCAATCAGAAGTTCCCGCGTTGAAGCGTCTCTTTCTGAGGCGCCTAAAAAATAACTATAGACGCCCGCGCGGAAGATTCTTGTCCTCAGAGGACAAGGAAATTTTCCGCGTTTGAGGCGTTCGAATTGTCCCAAGTTCCGAAGCGCAGGCGTCAAGTAATCAAGGCGTTGAGTTAGAACGGATGCCACGGCTCGACGACAATGGCGAGAAGGAAGAAGAGGCCCCAAACACCGAGGAGAGCAGAAGGCGGGAATGTGGGAACTGTGAAATCTATGCCGAGAGATCTGGAGGAATTCATGGGTCTTGGAGGCCTCGAGAAATCGCTGTCGATGGATACGTATCAAATGCGATTGCACGACTGAGGAAGGTGGGCACGATAATCCACCGAGCAAGGAAGGTATGCTGCTGCAGTACAGGCATTGTTGAGAGCGAGGAAGGGGAGGTTGCACTTCAAGCCAAGTTGCCGCCAGCGCTGTCAAGCAGACGATACTTCTAGGCCAGCATTTGGCATTTGCGAAGTAGGTGGGTTCGCTGCTAAGCAGTGTGCACTGCCGGGGTGAGCCAGAGATGGAGAGCTAGAGGTCTCGCGTGGTGAGGAACGGTGCCACGTGATGGTACACAGATTCTTCGTTGGCATTGGAGTTGCTCGAGAGATTCAAGCCAGACGCGGAGAGCAGGTGCAGTGCAGTGCGGTGAGGGAGGGGAGTCAAGCGTACCCCCTGCATGGCCCAATCGAACTTCGTTCTGTTCATCTTCTTTGGAAAACTGTGCTGTACAGTGCAACTCAATTTATGGCGCTGCGGCGCAGATAACAATGAAATGCCGCGCATGTGCGAACCGCATTTCCTTCGAATGCTGCGGTGCGGTGTACGGCTGTTCAATGTTCATGCATGCCTTTCGGCGAATTGACTGTGCATTCACTCGGGCTGCGTTCTGCAGGTGCATCAGCCCGCATCAATGTACATTGATAACCATGGTTCCAGGATTTTTCTATGATAACCTGCTGACAGGTTATCAAGGTTCGCGATAAGCGCATGGCTGCCGAAGCAAAACAAACCCGAATGCCTGCAGAGCGGCCTTTTTGGCTTACGAAATTTGTAATGTGACCGATTTCCAAGAAGCTTCCTCTCCTATCAATCGGGCGCATCACTGATGCGCGCATGATGCGATTTTTTTCAATTTCCTGACCTCAAATCAATTTCGTTAGATTTTCCAAACCTCAATTTAAAAAATCCGAACCTCAATTTCCCATGTGCGAATCAGACCGAGCCTCAGGCGCATCAGAGCTGATGCGCCTGCAGAACGCAGCCTCGGTGGGAACCTTGTTTTATGTGCTAATTGAGGCAAAGCCGTTTCAAATTGTCCCTTCAATAGACTATCCTGTCATCTGTGCCATCCCGTGATTGGTTAAATATGGAGCGCCGCTGGAAGAATGTGGTCCGCGAGCAAACTCGGTGGAGGGATGAGATGACCCCGAGCTGCAACTGGCGACCTTCGTGTCACGACAAGGCACCATCGGATCCGGGATTCGGAGTTGATGCGGCAAGCTCCATCGAGGGAGTACCCAAGAGAAGCAGACGAAATCGACGGCTGGTGTATCGTTAGGCACGGGCCAACGGCATCCAGCGAGCACCGAAGAGAAACGGCCAGTCGGTCAGAGTTAGTCAATGCCGCCATCCCATCGCACTTCGATGTCAGAAGCTTGACTGATACACCACAACATCCAAATACTACAGGTTCCACGATAAATGATTATATTAGAGTTGCACTATTGGACTTGCATTCATCCATAAGTCTGACACAAGGCACTACTACTTGTACTATATTCTAGTACACTCATGTAGATTCAAGATAATTATTTACTGATTTGCAACACTATTTCCCACACCCCAGCAATTCGAATTTTCAGGGTCATAGCCAATAGCAATGGTGTTGTGGAAAGCTACTTTGTATCGTATAATAATCAAAGACCTTGGTGTCATGAATCATGGTCTCATCTTTTTGCGAGCCGATCCACCAGCACCTTCACCTGGTTGGGTGCCAGGTATCTCGCCTGCAACGGAAACAAAGGAGAGTGGAGCAACATCACCTCTCACATCAGAATACATACCAAGCTGATTTGCAGTGCTAAGGGTAGTTGCTTTATGGCAAAGAAGGTCACACACAGCAGAAAATTTGGGTTTTTTTGGCCGACTCACTCCTGAAGAATCATCCACACTCTCACCTGAAGAAACATTCTGTCAGCCTCTGCTTGGTTGCCATTATCTTTGAGGAACAAGCCCTGCAAGGCACACCACGCACACACGCACACACGCACACACGCACACACGCACACACAGACACAGATACAAGTCACGGCTTACCACATCTTTACAGACTTCAGAATTACCTCGCGTTACGGAGAAGTAGCTGGGAAAAGCAGCCTCAGCACCCAGTGAATTGACTGCTATGTTCGGGCCTTTGAGTACAGAAGCTGAGGCAGATGCATGCTTGGCTTTAAAGTCCCAGGATACACGGCTTAGCAGAGCCCATCCATTCACCACACATAAGCACAGACCCCCACCCGCGCAAATCACAAGACCAACTACCTGTACACAAGCCGGACATAATTTGAGGCGCCTACAACAAACTTCATGGAACTATACGCACATGTGAGTTGCAATGTACACAAGCTGGACAACACACCAAGGCAGCACCGTGTGATGCATCCAAGTCACAGCAGAAAGTCATCCCACACAAACCTTGGGCAGATGAGCATAGATGAGGAAAACGAGCCTCGGAAGCCTTTGGGGGGGGAGGCAATCAGCCCATCATAAACCGCAGCAGAAACCTTTGATGCTTGTTGCATCAGCCTAGAAGATCATTTCATGCAAAACTTGGCATGGGGCACACAACACAAATATACATAGCAGAAGTTCATCCCTCACAAACAGACCTTGGCCAGGTACCCTCGAAAGCCGTCCGGGCGTGAGGCAATGAGCCCGTCGTACACCGCAGCAGCAACTGTTGATGCTGTTGCGTTGACAGTTGACCTTTTGATATTGTTGTGTTGACCCACAAAGCCATGCCAAACACACCTTGGCAAGGTAGCCTCGGAAGTCGTCTGAGCAGGAGGCGATGAGCCCATCGTACACCGCAGCCGCATCCCTGATGTTGCTGCGTTACTCAGAAAGTCATCCCACACAGACCTTTGCCTGTGTGAACACCCACACATATACACACACCAGAACAGACCAAACAGACCTTGGCGAGGTAGCCTCGGAAGTCGTCCGGGCGGGAGGCAATGAGCCCGTCGTACACCGCAGCCGCATCCCCCGGCCGCCCCCACGCCGCATACGCCTTCCCGAGCAGCAGCGCCACCTGCACCTCGTCTGCCACCCCCTCCTCCTCCGCCTCCTTCCCTGCTGCTGCCTCTACCCGCTGCCGCGCTGCTAGCAGCTCATCCACGGCCTGGGAGGGATGCATAGAGGGAGTGGTGGCAGGTAAGGGGGATGGGAGGGGGGATGGATTTCAGAGGCCTTTGAGGCAACAGTGAGTGTCTGGAGTGCTGCTGCAACCATCCCTGAGCGACAATGCAAACGCCCCCTCCAGAAGCAGGAATCTCCACAGCCTGGGGGGAATGCATAGAGGGAGTGGTGGCAGGGAAAGGGGATGGGAGGGGGGATGGATTTCCAGAGGCAGACTTGAAAGGCAGCTGTGAGTCTCTGGAGTGCTGCTGCAGCCTATGCTGCAGCACCATTGGCTGCAGGGTATGCTTTGTCGCACAGCATACGTCTTCGCTAGCAGCAGCGCCACTTGCAGCTCATCTGCCCCCCCCCCCCACTCCCTTCTGCTGCTGCTGCTGCTGCTGCTGCTGTTGCTGTTGCTACCCTGGTATCGCATGTGAGCCGCGCGTGCAAGTCAGATGTGAAGCTGGAAGGGGGAAGGGGGAGAGGAACTGTAGGGAAGAGGGAAGGTGGGACGAAGGCTTTTGAGTAAGGGAAGAAACGCCGGGGTAGAAGGGGAACGAAAGAGGAAGGGAAGGTGGGGAGGACACCCTTGAAGAAAAACCTTTGAGACAATGCTGCTGCAGCACTAACAGTCGATGTCTGTTCGTGCTGCTGCAGCTGCCCTGCTTGACAATGCACATGTCCCCCCCCTCCCCCCCCCCCCCCCCCCCCCCCCCCCAATAGCTTGTCCACGCTACATACATGCCATGCCATGCCATACCATGCCATGACATCTCATGCCATGCCATCCCCTACCCTCTCATCCCATCCCATCCCACACCACCGCACCGCACCGCACAGCAACACACGCACCTGCTGCGGCTTGTTGTCAGCCAGCAGAGCGCCTGTGAGCCCCTGCAGCACCTCCAGAGACTCCACAGGGGATACCTGGTGGGGACAGGGAGGGAAGAAAGGTGCGCGGGAAGAAGTGGTATAGAGGGGTTGATTCTTCTGAGGGCGCCTGTGAGCCCCTGCAGCACCTCCAGAGACTCCACAGGGGATACCTGGTGGGGGGGACGGCACAGCAGAGGTCCGAGAGAGGGGGTGAGAGGAGGTGGTGGAAAAGAGGGGTTAGCTCTTCTAAGAGCACCTGTCAGCCCCTGCAGCACCTCCAGAGACTCCACACAGGGGATACCTGGTGGAGGCAACAGCAAAGGTTGGAGAGGGGGAGGAAGCGAGGGGGGAAGGGGGTTGCTTCTTCTACCGCCTGTCAGCCCCTGCAGCACCCCCAGAGACTCCACAGGGGATACCTGGTGGCGGGAACGAGGTTGGAGGGAGGGAAGAAAGGGGCGCGGGAGGAAGTGGTAAAGAGGGGTTGGTTGGAGGAAACAGCAGAGGTTGGAGAGGGGGAGGAAGCGAGGGGGGAATGGGGTTGCTTCTTCTACCGCCTGTCAGCCCCTGCAGCACCCCCAGAGACTCCACAGGGATACCTGGTGGCGGGAACGAGGTTGGAGGGAGGGAAGAAAGGGGCGCGGGAGGAAGTGGTAAAGAGGGGTTGGTTGGAGGAAACAGCAGAGGTTGGAGAGGGGGAGGAAGCGAGGGGGGAAGGGGGTTGCTTCTTCTACCGCCTGTCAGCCCCTGCAGCACCCCCAGAGACTCCACAGGGGATACCTGGTGGAGGGAACGAGGTTGGAGGGAGGGAAGAAAGGGGCGCGGGAGGAAGTGGTAAAGAGGGGTTGATTGGAGGAAACAGCAGAGGTTGGAGAGGGGGAGGAAGCGAGGGGGGAAGGGGGTTGTTCCTTTTGTAGCCCGTGCAGTGAGCCCCTGCAGCACCTCCAGAGACTCCACAGGGGATACCTGATGGAGTGAAGGGGGGGAAGAGAGGATGGGAGGAGAGGGGAGGAGGGGAGGTTGGGAAGTTGGGAGGTAGGCAAAGAGGGAGGAAGGGAGGGAGGGAGGGAGGAGGGGAGGAGGGAAGGGAGGCAGATGTGTCGTGATGTGATGTGATGTGATGTGATGTGATGTGATGTGATGCGCTGCGATGCGATGCGATGTGATGTGATGTGATGTGATGTGATGTGATGTGATGTGATGTGATGGGATGTGATGTGATGTGATGTGATGCGATGTGATGCGATGTGATGTGATGTGATGTGATGTGATGTGATGTGATGTGATGCGATGTGATGTGATGTGATGTGATGTGATGTGATGTGATGTGCTGCGATGCGATGTGATGGGATGTGATGTGATGTGATGTGATGTGATGTGACGTGATGTGATGTGATGTGATGTGATGTGCTGCGATGTGATGTGATGTGATGTGACGTGATGTGCTGCGATGTGATGTGATGTGCTGTGATGTGCTGCGATGTGATGTGATGCAGTGTGATGTGAATGCCGCAACTTCACCTTGCTGCACTCCTCCTCACAGACCTCACCTGGCAACGATGCGACTCACCTTGCTGCCATGCGTCTCACCTTGACAGCCCGCCTGTAAGCAGCAGCACTGGCGCCATACTCGCTCAGCTCAAATCGCACCTCCCCCAGAAGGCGCTGCACCTCGGGGTCCTCCGGGGCAATCTGAGAAGCGGGAGGGACGGGGGTGAAGAGGAGAGAGCAGGCATTCTGAGGTGCGTTGTGATGCTCCCTGCTTTCATCAGCCATACTCGCCCAGCTCAAATCGCAAATCCTCAAATCACACCCCTGACCCCTCCACACCCCTGACCCCTCCACACCCCTGACCCCTTCAGCCTCTCCACCAATCACATGGAAGGCAACATGGAACATGCTAAAGTCACAAGTGCACGTGCCTTGCTGAGCTGCTCCAGGCGTTGAGCCGCCTGCCCATACTGCCCCAGCTCCGCATACAGCACTGCAGCCCCCTCCAGTGCCTCCCTGTTGTCCGGGGTGGCCGCCAGCCGCCCCTCAAACTCCTTCAGCTGGTCCTGTGGGGTTGATGGGGGGGGGGGTGGAGAGAGGGAATAGCAGGGGGAGCAGGGGAAGCAGAGGCGATACTTGAGCCGCCTGCCCATACTGCCCCAGCTCCGCATACAGCACGGCTGCTCCCTCCAGCACCTCCCGGTTGTCCGGTGTGGCGGCCAGCCGCCCCTCAAACTCCTTCAGTTGGTCCTGCGGGGTTTATAGGGGGAGCAGGGGTAGAAGTGGAAGCAGAGGCGATGCTTGAGCCGCCTGCCCATACTGCCCCAGCTGGTCCAGCGGGATTGATGGGGGGGTCAGTGGGCACAGAGGGAGCGCGGCAGGCAGCGAGAGTTGGGGGAAGGGTGGGTGGGTGGGAGGGAGGAGAAGGATGAGACAGACAGAGAAGAAGTGGGAAAAACGGCCGCTAAAGGAGTGCACTTGTGGAGGTAAAGAGACGACGAGACGGGAAAAGGGACTGCTGAGCGAGTGCTCTGCTGAAGCGGTGTATAAATATGTGCAACACAGCATGCATGAGGGCGGTAGACCTGGACGCTGCAGCAAACACCTGACCCGACGCAGCTACCTGACCAGACGCAGTGACTGGAGGAGACGCAGTGGTCATTGTGTACAGGCTCGACCCCGGCCGACGTGTAAACGTGGCCAGGTGTCGGCCTGTCCGAGCGTCCGTGCAGTGGGTCACCCGCTGACTCGCAGGAGTGAACTGGTGAACCCCCGCATCCTGTAGGTCAGCACCACTCACCAAGTTCGTAGAGAACGAGGGGAGGTAAAGACCAGACAGGGTGCCAGAGGGGGCCGCCGGACACGGGAGGACAGTGGAGAAGTGAGCAAGGACAGGACCCCCAGAGGGGTCTGCCAGAGAGACTGCAACTGGCCGGCCAAGCGGCGTGAGTGTGGTGCGGTCTCGAAAGAAGGAGCGAGAAGCCCCCGAGTCAAGGGTGAAGGTGTGGGAGGCCGAAGCCGACGCAGTACCTGAGAGAGCAGACTCACCAGCACCTGAGGGAGCAGACACACGAGCACCTAGAGCAGCAGCCTCGCTAGCACCTAGAGCAGCAGCCTCACCAGTACCTAGAGCAGCAGTCTCAATGCCCGGGTCGGGCGGAAAACACCGGTAACAGTCACCCTCATCACTAATAGTCACAGCATACATGGCAGCAAGAATAGCATCAAAGTCAAGGTCAAAGACAGCTACACCCGCCCTAGACAGCTCGCCCCAGCGGGGGATCTCAGTGGCCTCAGGGAACTGGTGACACCAAGCGTCCGTCAGGCGGCCAAAGCAGCGCTGGGTGGAGTGCGCACCCCCGCACTGCTCACCCGCGCGGTCGCCGGTGCGTAGGACGTAGGTGCACGGACCAGTACCCCCACCCCGCTGGCCTGCAGCGTACCACTCACGGAGCTGCTGAGGGGGGGGGATGTCACGAGTGCGCTGCTGCCGCTGCTGCTGCTGCTGCTGCTGCTGCTGGCGCTGACCACCACCGGAGCCGACCCTCTGCGCAGCGCCACCCCGACCAGCTCCACCTCCTCCGCCGCCGCCTCCTCCACCGCTGCCACCTCCGCCACCTCCGCTCCCACCGCCACCGCCGCCGCCGCCTCCGCCTCCACTGCCGCCACCGACACCTCCACCCCCGCCACCACTCCCACCACCACCCCCACCCCCTCCACTGCCTCCACCGCCACCTCCGCCACCCCCGCCAACCCCTCCAGCACCCTTGCCCCCCTTGCCCTTGCCGGTGCGGCGTCTCCCGCTCGGGGCAGACGCAGCGCCGACCGACTCGAAACCAACGAGGTCGGCCGCAGCAGCAGAGGCAACAGAGGGCAAAAGGGGGGAGGGGGAACACCCCTCAAAGACGGGGGTGCGAGGGTCACCACGAGAGGCTCCTACAACGACTATGCTCTTCTCTGCTGCTAGGAGGGCCTTCTCGAGGAGGTCAACGGTGAGAGTGGTGGGGCAAACTGAGAGGAAGTGGTCCCTGACTACGCGAAGGGAGTCAGGGAGCCGGGTGACTATGTAGTAGAGGGTGATGTACATGGGGGGGGGGTGCTTGGCGCAGAATTCAGCAGGAAGCGCAGCGCGGTAGCGAGTGTCACTAGTGCGGAGGTGCGTAATGAGGTCAGCGACTGTGGGAAAGGCAGCAAGGTCAGGGAAGAGGAACGGTAGCATGAGGCGGCTCAGTGCAGCAGTGGCAGGGGAGGAGTAGCGCGCAACTACAGCGTCATACAAGGTGTGAGCACTCTTGTACTGGCTAAAGTGCGCACGCTCAGAGGTAGGCAGGTGGCGACGCACAGCAAGACGTGCAGCAGCATCGCGTGTGGCCCACTGTGAGCTAACAATGGCGTCGGCATCAGCAGCAGGGGCAGGAGAGGCACCAGAGGTGAGGTCAAAGAGGGAGAGACCGTCTGCCCTATCGCACTGTAGGAAAAGCTGCAGGTCATCTACCCAGACGTCAAAGTCAATGGCCCGACCCTCAGCGTCAAAAGCGAGGACACTAGGGGTAGCCATGACAGCAGTAGACTAGCAGCGCGAACAGTAGGGTAAGGGCAGTGCAGTGACAGAGGCGCTGCTCTTACCGGACAGGGCGGCTCGGGCGGCTCGGCGGCTCGGCGGGTCGGCAACTCGGCGGCTCGGGCGGCTCGGGCGGCTCGGCGGTACGGCGGCTCGGCAGCAACTGCGGCTCGGCGACTCGGCGACTCGGGCGGCTCGGGCGGCTCGGCGGTACGGCGGTGCGGCAGCAACTGCAGCTCGGCGGCTCGGCGACCCGGCGGCTCGGGCGGCTCAGGTGGCGCGGCGGCTCGGGCGGCTCGGGTGGATCGGGCGGCTCGGCAGTAGCTCGGCGGCGCCGGTGGCTCGGTGGTGACGGCGGGGCCGCGCGGGGACGGCGGCGGGGCCGGGTGGAGCGGCGGCGAGGCCGGGTGGAGCGGCGTCGGGGCCGGGTGGAGCGGCGTCGGGGCCAGTAGAGGCGGCGCCGGGGCCGGGAAGGGCAGCTCCGGGGCCGCAGGGGTAGGCGACGGGGCCAGCAGAGGCGGCGCCGAGGCAGGGAAGGGCGGCGCCGGGGCCGCAGGGGTAGGCGACGGGGCCGCGAGGGCGGCTAGGAGGGGGGGGGTCGCGAGGGCGGCTTGAAGAGGCCGCGAGGGCGGCTAGAAAGGGCCGCGAGGGCGGCTAGAAAGGGCCGCGAGGGCGGCGTGAAAGGGCCACGAGGGCGGCGCGACACGAAGGAGCCGCGAGGGCGGCGGATCGGGGCCGCGAGGGCGGTGCGACGCGGCCGCTAGGGCGGCGCGACGTGAAGGGGCCGCGAGGGCGACGCGACGGGGCCGCAAGCGCGACGCGACGGGGCCGCTAAGGCGGCGCGACAGGGTCGAGAGAGGGGAGCGCGACTCGGGCAGTGGAGAGCGCGCTCCGGGCAGGAAAAAAAATGTGGTGGGCCCTAGGAACAGTTCCCACAGGGGAACCTGCTCGATACCATGAGAAACTGAACGAGAATGAATGACTAAGGGAAAGTTGGGTACAAATGTAAACCCTAGAAAACTGTACCCCATATGTGCTACCCCACTATAGCCTACAGTAGCTATGTCATATAAATCTGACACTTTGATACGACAGAAGCGTTTTAAATCACTTGTTTCCAACACTCCCCTTCGCTTCTGGAGGACCGCTGCTGATGACGTGTCCTTGTCCAGTCAGCAGCATGCAGTACTTGAACTTCTGTTTTCCGAGTTTCTTGGTCAGGTAATCAGCTGCCATCTCGGATGTGGGACAGTAGGATAGCTCGAGTCTTCCCTTTTCGATTTTGTCTTTTACGAAGAAGTACCGAAGTGCGATGTGCTTCGTTTGATTCGCGAACCCGTTTTTGTTCGCTATGCGAATGGCCGATTGGTTGTCGCAGAAGAGAGAGAAGTTGGGTAACTGGGCCAATTCTGCTTCCTGTAATTCGAGGTTCTTCTCGAACTGCTCAAGCAATTCGTTGCTTGAACCTGTGTACAGGAGGTCGTCGACATAGACCGGAAGCAGGATGTATTCGCTGCGGAAATTGCGGCGATACATTCCGGGATCGTGGGGCAGTTGCTTGAATCCTATCTCGAACAGAATGTTGTGCAAGTACTGCTGCCAGAGCCTTGGCGCCTGTTTGATCCTGTGGAGGGACTTTCGCAGCTGGCAAACGCGTGAGTCTCCTTCGCCGTATGTGTGCGGCTGCTCCACGTAGATTACTGCGACCACTAACGCGTAAAGGAACGCGTTCTCCACATCGATTTGATGAAGCGGCTGTGAAGAAACAGGAATGAATGACTAGGAAATGAGTTGTGTACAAATATGAAACCCTCGAAAACTGTACCCCATAGTGTCTACCCCACTACAGCCTAGTCAGGCTATGTGATTAATGTTTGACACACCCCCATAGGCAAAGTGGGGGAGAACAAGGGGTCACAAGACCAGTCAAGCAAAGCAAAGCAAAGCAAGCTCAGGGTGGATCACAACGTCACCACACATTCCGAGCACAGGTTCAAAGGCCACAAGGCCAGTTCACATGCAGGATTATATATAAAAGGTAAACAAGCAGGTGCAGGTATATATAGATCACAGTACAAGTAAAGTCAAGAAGTAAGCAAGTGAGGCCAAGTAGGCACAAGACCTAGCATAGTACAGAAACGCTGATGATCACAAGGCTGAAGTGCCTTGGTGAAGATATCAGCAGTGTTGGCCTGAGAGGCCACGTAAGCAAGGCGCAGCTGACCACGCTGCTGCAGCTCACGAGCAAGGAAGTAGCGAAGAGCAATGTGCTTCGTTCTGTGCTCCAGTCTGTGCTCCCGACACAAGGCCAACATGGCCTTGTTGTCTACGTACAGAACTGGAGGAGAACGAGGCGGCTCTCCCAGGTCAGTCAGCAGGTAGGTGAGCCAGCGTAACTCCTGTGCAGCCATGGCTCCCGCGTAGATCTCAGCCTCACAGCTGGAGCTGAGAACAGAAGACAAGCGGGTAGACCGCCACGAAACAGAACCGGAACCAAGGCTGAAGGTGTAACCCTGTGACGACCGCTGAGTAGCCAGGTCGTCCACCCAAGACGCGTCTGCGTGACCAGTGAGGACTACTGGACTCCGCCCTCCAAGCACGAGCCCCATGCCCGACGTACTGCACAAGTAGCGCAACACCCTCTTCGCAGCAACCATGTGCTCTGGTCGGTGTCTGCCAGGAGCAACATAGCGTGCCAGAATGCTAAGAGGGTATGCCAGGTCAGGTCGAGTGCAGGTCATCAGGTACATGAGACAGCCAACAAGCTCTGGGTACGGGCCACTCGGCTCTACGGACTCATCCGAAGGCAGAGCTGAGAGCGAGTGGCGAGTAGACAGAGGAGTGGCCTGAGGCGAGGAGTACGTGAAGTCGAAGCGCTGAAGGACCTGCTGCACCATGTGTGACTGAGTCAGGGTAATGGTGCGCCGTGCTCTGTCCCGGGTGATCTGCAAGCCAAGATAGCTGCGCAGTTCACCCAGGTCTGTGCACGTGTGTCTCTTCTGCAGCT